CTTTGCAACCCAGGCCATTCTATGATTCTTCAATTCTATCCATCCATCAATCTATATTAGTTTTTGAGGGAAGGTAGAAGGATTTAAACAATCTGAGAAGAATCTCAATCAGAAACAGAAAGGAAATGCAGAAATAATTACAGTTCAAATTAACAGAGTCGGTGTGGCATTTCATTTCCTTCCTGTGGTCTTAGTTTCTTCATCAAACTCTCCCATTTTGCTAGTCTGAAGAGCACAACACATTCAACTTTTACCAATCCAGTTCACTGGGCGCAGACCCAGAGGATGAAGAGGAGAATGACCAATCTTCAGATGACCCATTTTTTTCACAGAATAGATGGATCTCGACTTGCAGATAAAACGTCACAAAGAAATTATAGTGTCCTTAAATGCCTTAAAACCCACTAATAGTTTAATTTAACTCCATTCTTGACATGCTAGAGGTGACGTAAGCTGTTGGAGTACCTCTTGCTATACTTCTTGAAATGTGGTGACCTGCAGGAGTGCTCTTTGTTTATAAAGACTCAACTACATCTACACCAGTGACTAAGAAGTGCAGGAGCAGTTTTCAGGTGAAGTGGAAGACTGCTGACAAAACCTCTCCTCTTACAAAGTCAGATGGTTGCATTTGTGGTGCACAGCAGAACTGTTTCTAGTGTATGCAAACCCCTGAGCCATGACTTTTTCAGGAAATGCCTGGTTGTCCCATTCCTAAGCTTCAGTGAAGACCCTGCTAGCATCTAATCATCAGCCATACATCTCACTCTCAGCACTTGGTCCCATTCTACTACTGCAGGCAAAGCTCATCTCTTTTCCACCCCTCACGTTCCCCCTACAAGAAATCTTTGTTATTAAGTCTGGATGAACTCAGATTTCCCTCTTCTCCCAGTGAAGCACACCTGAAGTGATTAAAGCCATAAAGTTCTCCAAGTGGGGTGGTCCCTTCTTGTTTCTAGATGCTACATCTCACATCCATTAAGGGCTTTTGTTTTGACCAGAAGCCACCTGCATCACTTTGCTGGCTTGAATCTCTCATTCACTGATTACTGAGTGTTCCCCTCAAGATGTCCCTCAACCCATGTCTATTGAGAATGTCCCTGGTAAGAAACTTTTTTTTTTCCTCTCCTGGAGATCTGCAGGAAAGCAACTGGATCCAACCTGTTTGATAGTGCATCTTGATGATGATTCAAATCAGATAATACAAACTACAGGGAAAAAAGAGACCTCACAACTGATGCACACCTTTGAAAGCTAATGCAGGACATCAGAAAACCTCTTTCTCAACTACCTGAAGGATGGACCAGTTTTCAAAATAGTGACTGTGCTATGGACTTTCCAATAACTTGCTGCTCAGTGACTTCCCCCCCTCGTAGCTCACTGCTATGGTAGGAAGCCAGATTGGAGGCTGTCCTACGGCCGACCTTGCACAATCACAGGCACTTGGGCTGTAGAACTCCCTCTGAAACCTAGTTTCATGCATGAGAAGCCCCTATCAAGTGCTCCATCAAGGGTAACGAACATCCTGCGCTTCCTGCCCACTGTTACGGTCGCTGCGTATTCAGCTATCTGAGCCTCTCACTGGTTTTCCTTCTGGTGCTTGGCGACCCTGGTGGTTGAAACTCGATGATCACTGTGCTCCTTTTCAACCCATTTCCTTTTCTATGATTCTATGAATTCACTCTTTCTGGCTGATGGATCTGCCATTCTTCACAAGAGCAGGACCCATGCAAACTCCTCCTCCTGCTCCTTTGCTCTCAGGTCAAATGCATACCTCAAGGTAGACAGCTCCCCATCAGTAACCACCCTGCTGCTTTCTCTGTGTGCTGGGGACTGTTTGCCAGCATCTCCTTTTGGTTCTCAATGAGAAGGGAGAAGCAAGGCACATTGCCTAGGCTCCCTTTTCTCAACCCCAGGCCACCTTTGTGGGTGCTATTATTGCCTGGACTGTGTTTATCATTCAGTGGAAGGAGACTGCAGAGGGAAATGAGGAAGATGGAGCCATTTCCCCTTTCCTTCCCTCTTGTGACAGTGTTTGGGTCCAAAGAGCACTGAATAGCATGTAGTACCATGTGCTGATATCAGCAGGGTTTGCTCAGCAGCCTCACTCCCCAAAACAAACATCCCTGGGACAGGCAGGGAATGGTTATGTAAGAAGGGTACAAGTGCATCTTCCTTCTCCATTAAGTCCTGCTATTCTTGCAAACTTGATAGCAAGCAGCTTCACCCTTGATGCCTAGCTTTCTGCTGATCTGGAATTCAGTTTTCTCTTCGTGTTCCCCAGGAGTTGAACACAATGATCCTTATTGATCCCTTTCAACTCAGGCTATTCTATAAGGACTTCAACTCAGGAACATATCTGATCAATGCAAAACTCTCAGCCCAGGAGGTGAAAAGGGAAGGAAACATACATGCATACCCTACATACATCCGGATGTAGTGCCTATCACATATCACAGTAAGATACGAGGCTCACTGCCCTTCCCTTGGAGCTCATGAGGTCATGGCTCCTACAGTCCTATACATGGTCCTACCTGTCCCCTAGCATTACATAGCTCTCCAACTTGCTGAGCATGGACAAAAAGAAATTTGTCTTCTTTGCCACCTGCCTCCTCTTGCCCATACCCAACCTCCTCATTCGCTTTCCACTGTAAAGAATATTTTTGCATGTTTCTGAAATCCTAGGCCTGACATAGCCGTGAAAAGAACATGGTGTGCTTTTTCACAAACTGTAACACCAGCACCCAATTTGTTTCAACTGCTTTACCAGACATGGATCACCATACTCTCTGCACACAAGTATAGCTGACTTCCTGCTATTTATTTTTGCACAGAAGCAGTAAAAAATTAAGCACCCTCATGACTTGATTTCATTAATGATTCTTGGCTTCCAGTGTTTGCAAAAAGAAATGCCAATAAAACATGTACAGTTTTCACATGCCTCAAGAGTGGCATTTCTCAATGATAAGCACAAGTATTAAGGCTGTAGCCATCAGAACGAGGTAGAGGGACTCAGTGCAGGCAGGAGCCTTGAGGCACACAATATCACCATTTTCAAGATAGCTTAGTTGGTTGCCAAAAGGGAACTGGGATGCAGTCTCCCACAACAGAGTGGCACAGTGCACAGAGGTGTTCCTTCTGGTTCTTTCTGTCTAATGACTTCATCTTCCTGGTGTGGTAAAACGTCATGGCTGAGGTCTCATGTAAAGGATGCAGGTAGCAATTGAGCTTTGAACCGTGCCAGAACATCTGGGAGAAATTGCACCAAGTTGCAGATATCATGGACAGGGATGAGGGGATGTCCACAGCCCTTTCACTTCTGACTCCTACACATGCAGCCCCACAATTCCAACTCAAGAGAGGACCAAAGCCCTGACCCACTCCTCCATCCAAGTAGAAGGATCTGTTGCATCCTTGTTTCATGCAGTCTTGGTAGGTTAGCAGTACCCCATGGCTGGGAAGGGGACAGTCTGTGACAACATCATGTCCAAGAGCCACAAGGCATCAGCAAACCCGCATGGTTTACAGTATTGTGAATCACAGGAACCCACCTCCCTCCTGCTCCAATCCTGTGTCCTCTCCGGGTGCAGCCCATCAGCTGAGCACAGGGTGTCATTTGGTCCTTGTTCAGGTCAGGCATCTTCAAATGTGTTGGGTTGCAACATCTTCATACATCACCAATCTCTACAGTCACAGGGCAGTGAACTCTCACCACTCCTCCTCCCCTGAAGTGTCTGCACTGTCCAGACCCACAGCCTTTATAAGTGCAGGGACCAGCCATCTTCTGCCTCATACATCAGCTTCTGAACACCTTCAGGTATTTTCACAGCTGCAAAGGCTATTCCACAGCAGAAGACAATCATGAGAATCCTTTTCTTCCTTGTTGCTATTCTCTTCTTCCTCTTCCAGGCTGCTCCAGGTAAGATGGAAAATAGGTGAGATGGAGACTAAAAGGGTACATGTGCAGAGAAGTCCTAGCCTCTATGCTCTTGGACTCTTGTCATACTTAGACTCCCTTTCCTTATTCATAACCATAGTCTTTAACCTTCTGAGTCAAGGTCCTTGACTTGCCTGTGGTCTCATGCTAGCCCTGAGCATC